AAATAACTCGGTACAAAACAGGTCTGCTTCAGAATTAAAAAAAACCTTTACAGGAGTTTAAAACCTATCCCAGAACGTAAAAGTAAAACAAATCCCATCCTCGGTATTAGTAGCCACAGCCGCAGCCCCCACCAGGGAGCATGGAGCGAGATCGGAGTCCTTCCCTGCGCCCGCCGCCCATCGCTTTAGCTGGTGTCCATCTGCAAGAGAGGAGAGGAGCCGTCACTGCACGCCCCGCAGCACCCCGCGCCCCGCAGCACCCCGTGCCCCGGACTGCAGGAGGCAGTCCAGCCCCGGCAAACCACTACCGCTCCCCAGCACTGCTGGACAGGGACAGGTTCGAGCCCTGGCCTGTTCAGGGGCTGGCCTGGGCATGTTCGGCAGCACCAGGGTGCAGCTTACCCACCGTAGCACAACAAGGCATGACTGCGAACTGCCCCACCGTGCTCCCCTTTCTCCCATCCAAGGCTTTTGCAAAATAACACTATTTACGCATCCCCAATGCCAGACAAGACTCCTCTAAAACATCAGACATTCCCATAACATTTTTTTCTGGAATTCTGCTCATCCCTCATCTGCTCTCGCCTCAATTTTGTCCCATTCCTACAACACTAACTCCACTGTTGTAGCGTACATAGGTGACCTCAGTACTCTATCAAGATTTTAATCTGGCTGCGGTACAGAGACATCCAAGCTAGTTCTGAAGGCAGCAAACAACGTGCTTGGCTCTGTACGTCAGGACTCGTATCCACTATCAGCATCATCGACCTTTCCTCCGTTAGCATCCCATGTAGTTATTTCACACTTTTTTTTCTTTTTGTTTCTCCATTTCTGCAGCTCATTATCTCTGTGGGTTTTATTATGCAGCTGCTGTTTGTCACAGCTGTTCCAGCTACAGAAGACCCTACCCTACACTGGCTCCAGCAAGCCAGGGAGCTGGAAGAGGGGCTGTTTCTTGGCTGTCAGTAACAGCAGTTGACAAAGTGTTCTGGAGACAAAAGCCAACTACCGGACCAAGGCACTGCTCAGCTTTAGAGAGAGACTGCTTTAGTGCAATGGCCTGGAAAATGCCTTCTCTTTCCTGCTGGCTCCAGGCTGCCAATGTTTCCCAGAACGAGATGCCGCAGGGAACCTGTGGACAGCACCCGAGCAGCACTTACCCTGGCATTGTAAGCATCCAGCTGTGCATCTAATTCTTCTGCAGAGAGCTGCTGTTTGGAAGTTCTTCCAGCTCCTCTGCCTCTTCCTCTGTTACCGCCACGAGTACCTCGCCTGTTGCCTCCTCCACCACCAAATCCTCCTGAACCACCGCGGTTTCTGGTCATGCCACCTCTGTTTACACTGTGATTTTTAAAAAGCAACTGGTTTAGTGCATTCTGGTTAACGCAAACCACCATGCAGAAGTCTGCCAAATGGGAGACAGAGCCATGCTTCCTACACAGAGAGGGGCCAGGCACATTCCCGCCCTGCGCTGACCACACAAAGTGACTCCCGCAGCTGCACAGCATCTCACCTCTGTGCTGGTCTCCTCTGTGTGTCGATCTGTGATGTGACCAGCTGAATGTTCATGGGGCGCCCTGGAGGAAGAGCAGCTGGTGAGCCTGCGTGCGGGACATAGGTGCACAGGCTGCTCCAGCCAGCCAGTGAAATACGCTACAAGATGGCCATGCAGACTCACCATCCAAAGGGACTCCATTGTACTGCTTCATTGCTTTCAAGGCATCTGCCTTCCTTTCGAAATGCACATCTGCTGTCCCTAGGCTGCGGCCAGATCTGTCATAGTGCACAGCTGCCTTCTTCAAGGTCCCAAACTCTGCAAAGAGCTCCTGAGAAAGAAAGTGAGAAAAGTGTACATATCCATCAGCACTGCAAACATCACACAGCCAAAAGACAGCGCTTGGCAGTTCCCCATACACAACCACTCTCATCAATCGCAAGTGCTTTTCAAAACATCATTGAAAACTCAGAAAAAGCACCAATGAAAGAAGGGAGCACAAGCCCATCAGAAGGATTTCAGAAAGTTGCCACAGGTGGCAAAAACTTCATATTCACCACTTGCAGGGTGCATGTTTACAGCCAGCAAAGCAGACTCAAGGGATGCCAACCTGTTTCTTTTCCCAGGGAAACTGCAGGTCTTTTTGTTGAGGCTGAGTCAATGGGGTGACTATATGAAAATGATGCAGACCCTAATCCTTTTCATATTTTCATAGAGGAAGAATGATCTGGATGAACACCGGGATTCATGAGCTGATCACAGTTTCATTGTGCTGGACTTCCCTCCCCCCCCCCCCCCCCAAATCTTTACTAGACCAGGAACAATTTCAAAACACAGCCCATTTGGAATATACCCCAAAACCTGAGATGAGGAAAGTCCTCTACTGAAGTGTGTCATTTGCAAAGGATGGAAATGACAAGGCAGTGATGGAGCCAACAATTTTGTTTCACAAGTGCTACATTTAGGAAGTCAACAAGGACACCTCACCTTTGCGAGATTCTGCTGTACCCCATGCCTCAAAAGCTCAACATCTACACCAGAGCTGCCAGGTGCTGAAAGGGACAGGCCACCTTCTACAGTATCTGCTGCAAAGCCGGACCACCATGCAGCTGTCTCTGTGAGTTACTGCCCAAGCATCTAATGGAGCATTATATATGTTCTTCCACTTCCTAAGCAGCACTTTAGGCAGGACTGCAGGCCAGATCCTCCCTTTTACTCATTCACTGTGCGTGAACATTACACGGCACTCAATAGAAGATTTCTGGAACAGAGCGCACCACAGGTGAGGCAGTGCTCAGCCACTTCTCCAGAGCCAGCTTCCATTTGCACTGCAGAAAACACAGGTTCCTCCCAAGCAGCAGCGAATGCTCAGGGAGCGATGCTGTGCAGCTCCTCCAAGAGCAACATGCATTCGAGGTTCCTTCCAGCCACTCATTCCTGCCGATATACGACCCAAGCTGCGCTGTACCACATTAACGATGTGATTAGCACAGAAACAAAGAAAGCAGTTGCCACGTCTGAGGCAGCGTTAAATTATGGGATGGGTAGTAACAAATAGGTGCAAAGCCATTAAGTCAGCTTTACTGCTAAATAAACCATAGATGGAAGTTTGTCCACACGTCAGTCCAAGCCAGCAGTGGAAAAGGCAAATCTCAGCTGCCGCACAAAGCGCAGGAGCTGGTGAAACTAAGGTGACTTCACAGAGCCACGTTTTACACATCGCAGCCTGACTACAACCAATAAGAAACTTATTTAAACCAAACCTGAACTTACATAAGGAAAAAAGGGGTGGTTTTAAGTGCATTACTCGGCAACTAGGTGACCTGAAAAAGCTCACTTCCAATTCCCCAGGCACAGCCAGATTGGCACATGGAGTAACTGGAATGAATTAACCAATGAAGAAAGCAAAAAAAGTAGTTGTTTGTTCTTCCCTGGTGAGAATGCAAGGACCAGAAGCCAATTTAAAAGAAAGTGCTTTGCAGCATGACCAAGCCAGCAGAGCCCCCAGTGGTGACGCATCTGGTATTTGCAAATATTTATTTCTGCACAACTCACCACCCACTTGTGACCGTGCCCTCACAGCTGGGTGGGAGCACCACGCTTCAACCTCTCCCAGCCTGCGCAGCCACAGAGACAGACGCATCAAACACCCAACTGAAAGAAGCTGGCACGTTCTTGCCCAAGGTACGGCTGAAACAAGGGATACAACTGTGACAAGTAACTTGGCCAGAAGACTTATCACAGCAGGTACCATAGACACTGCAGTGCAGGAGAGCATGCTCTGCCTCACAAATAGGTCTTCCCAGTTGCACCGATGGATGCGTTCATAGGAACGCCTCGACACTCAACAGAACGTGACTTTAACAAAGCTGCGCAAACAGGTCCCATAAAAACAGAGCACGCAGACATACACACAGTGCGGTTACAGAATTTCTGCAGTTACGCAGACCATAAGAGTTTACACAGTTTACAGTAAACTCTCCAGTCACAGCTGGATCCAGCCAAACAGCAGCATTTTCCCACACATGTGCTCTGGCAGAGTCACTTACAATGCAATTAGCTACCGCTCTGCAGCAAACAGCAGCTTTTCCAAATTGTGGCCTCCTTGGAATCACCACGACCACTGCAGGTCAGACACTTAGAGCACAAACCCCATCACCAACACAGAGCTAATTCACTCAGGGATCTCCCATCCCAGGCGCAGAAGGGAGCGGGACCTGCGGAGCTTCCGTGGGCACCCAGCGGGCCTGACCCCAATGCTATGAATTAAACCCCCTGCGAATGCCCCGCGCACACCCAGTAG